ACACACACCATAACTATTAGGAAGTGGGTGTGGCCAATGCGTCGCAAAGGTCTGTGAATACATGCTCTAACTGGCCACTACGTTTGCACGTACCATACATGTGTAGCACCTGTACTGTATGTTTACTCGTCATTAATCCTCGCGCGCATGCGCAGCGGGGTTACGGTACTTGGTCTGGTGTGTTTTGTCTGTCTGTCAGCAGCTATCCTGGCACTACAGCTACGAAGCAGCCTATTTTAGTCCTAGAAGACCTCGACCAGGTCCGCTCGCTCTGTGTATCTTGAAGGCACAACAAGTCACAACAAAGGGCGTGTATCGACTGCCGCATGCTATCTACTACTGTAGCTAGCCCGTGCCTGACTCTCCGCGAGCTACTAGCGGGAGAAACGCAACTGATAGCCCAGCCATCAATTAGCGGTATGGCGCATGCTACTTCGTGGTTTTCATTTCATATTTACAGGTAGACAGGCCTGAATTACACGATTATATTGAACCTCTGGACATTCCGGGAGTTGAGTTGGAAGAGGCTGAGGTAAGGCATAAAGATAATTTTGAGACTGTTGGTTTGCTCTTTTATGCTCGTACTATCAGTGGCGTAAGGAATGTTACCATCCTTTTGGCAGGCTTGATCAGCAAAAATTGAAAGGGGAGTATCGCACATTTGCGTGTATGCGTGCGCACCTTGGCACAATTTTCAAGCTGCAACATGAGTATATAGCTACAGGATGAGCTAAAGCAGGTGCAAAATGAGCGCAGTAAAATAGCTCTGTGGGCAAGCAAACGCAAGTGTAGTAAGAGCTAAAGGACGCCAAACATCTGGGACCCTACTCACTGCACGAACCTTAATCACTTGCATATTTCAGGATCTCACTCTCTAGCTTTCCCAATAATATCTCTCTCCTCCCCCTCTCTCTTCCTAAGTATCTTCCTCTCTCTACTAAGTATCTCAAACCAATCAGGGCCAGTTGCAAACCTGCTGCTGCTACTTTTGCCCTAATGATTGATTTATTTGATCTTCTATTTTAGCGAGCCAATTCTTCAAAGAAGGGAAGATGTTGAAGTTGAAAAGACGAAGCGGGGTTGGTGGTCTGTCGTTGATGACAATTTATGTATTATTCATTCACTGAAAATGGAGATAAAAAGTTTTCTGCGCAAATGTGAATGCAATGGGAATTTTGGGTGCGATGTATCCATACCGAAATTTGGTCGTGGAATTGGAAAGGATAATTATGGTTTTCTATACGTTCTGTGTTCCAGTACCAATTCAAAAGTGTTTAAATTTGATGAAGAATTAAATCCAGTGCGAAAAACAAATAAGTACTGTGCAGAACATTTTGGTGAGGCATATGGAATTTTGGTGACCGATGAACATGTTTTTGTTTGCGCACGGGTTAGGCAAAAGGTATGCATCTTGGACTTGGACCTGAATCTTCAGTATTGCTTGAAATTAGATTTTAAACCCGCTATCTCCTTACCAGTACCAGTTCAAGCACTGATTTTTTCACTGAAGGTCTCCAATTTCGCCGGAGGTGTGCACGGACATCAAGCGATCGTTTCTTTCTTGCCGCTAGTCACTACGGTAGATCATGGAGCTCTTCCTTGGTCGACACTGAACAACGCCATTTGCTGCTTACTCAGCATCGGTGAGCCTCGCGCATGCGCGAGGCAGGGGCGTTGTCCAATGCGCTTGCGAGCGTATTACCAGGCGAGTTGGCAGACCTGCAGAGAAACTCTCAACCTCCAGTACCTTCTGTAAGTAAGTGTGCACATTTCCAACTGGCTAGCTTGCTGTTGATTTGCACGAAGAGCAACTTGCCAGAGTCTACGCTGTGTTACGCGAGCCTCGCGGGGCACTCAGTCAAACGGGCCTTCATTGTTTGTCCCCCCAGGTTGTAGCCTGATTACCAAAGCCTGCCCATGAAACCACAACCATGTGCAATAATCTAATTACATCCTTGTTGAAGACAATACATGAGGTGAATGCGGTATCTAGCCCCTGCTTCAGGCACCATTATAGCTACTACTTTCAACAGTTACAATTTGTCTATGGTAGCCTATCTACAACATACCCATGAACATCAGAGTGACTATAACAATAAATGTAGTGTTGTCATAAGCTGTTAAAAAAATAGTGGAAACAAGTGGAAAAATCATTTCTTCAAAATGAAAGGGGGATATAGGGATGGCTTGAAGCACCAAAAAGGAAGAAACAAGGGGTCATTACACAGCAAAGTTGCACAAAGCTACATGACACCATCCCTATATCTTTGTTTTATTGTTTATAAGCAAAGTTTAACCCTTTGGACACCATGGGTATCTCCTTAAATAAGCAGAAATTGATGTATAATATATTAACGCCTAGTATTATAGACATAATAATACATTCTTATGGACTTATGGAGGCTCTGGGCATATACATGCCCGTGGCTTGCTAAGGGTTAATATCGAACAAACCTTTTGCAAATTAATCGTGAATGCTTCGTCTTCAGTGCATGCACACACACACACACACACACACACACACACTCCCAGTGCATTCAACTCTTTCTGGTGAGCAAACACCCCCTCTCTTCCTCTTCTCCTGCCATCTCATACGCACCATCTTCAAACTGAAAAGGTTCATATTCAACATTCTCATCTTTCTTGGCTATAGCTGCCGCTCCTGCCAGTTTCGGTCCCAGCAGCTTGCCCTCGGCTATCAGCTTGGCTTTCTGAGCCTGAGGGAGGGAGGAGAGAGGAGGGAGAGAGAAATGAAGGAGGGAGGGAGGAGGAGAGAGGAGGGAGGAGGGAGAGGGAAAAGCAGAAAGAAGGAGAGAAGAAAGTGAGAGAATAAACACAGAGTACCAGTGAAGAGTGGATACAACACAAGGAGAACCATAATTTTTCCTATGAGGAGGCAAAATTTGCTCCCGCCCCATGAAAGAAATGGCTTCGACTAAATGACGTAGGTATTGTTGGAGGCTACTTTCCAACAGAAAAGAAAATATTACCATCTTTTTCTCTTCTTGTTCCTTGAACTTGGTCCTCATGGGGCTAAGTTTCTGCTGCAGTTCAGTGGTGCAGAATTCATACATGTCCAGCTTCATCGTGTACTTGACGTCCTGTGAGGAGAGAGAGAGAGATGAACACGACCATTAGCCAGTCAATTGTCACTCATCTGAATAGGAACACAATTGAAGGGGTCAGAGCCAGAGTGAGCCAACTCTCAATATACAACTCTTACCTGTTTTTGTTCTATAAGGACATTTAGAACATATTTGAAGGAAAAACGGCAAGAGTTTTAATTGGAGGGTTGGCCCACTCTGACTCTGACCCCTTCAATTATTAATGATCATCTGAACAGGCACATGCATAAATGTCTATATTGCATTTGTTCAAATTCACACGTTGCATCCTCTCATGTCACTAGACAAAGGAATAATGTGTAAACCAACATATTATGTACCTTCAGGATCTTCCTAGCAACCGGTTTCCCACTGTCGGGGGCCTTGCCCACCGAGAACCGGACAAACTGGACTGTCAGGTATCCCGGGAGACGACTCAGCGGTGACGTCTTCTTGAACTCCGCGTCTCTTCCCAGAACTGCAGACTTCTTCTTCACCGTCCCCTCCATTCCCTGGGAGAGAGGGGCACTTTCCTGCTGTCCTTATTCTTATTCTATTTTGCTCTTTTGTGGAACCTCCGATAAGGGATCCTCCGAGATAGGGATGACCTCTCTACAAAGGACACTTGTTTCAACCCCATGCTAATACTTTAGTGCATTATTTGACCTACGACCTCTCTACAAGGGACAAAATCTCTGCCGCCATAATGTCCCTTGTTCGGAGGTTCCAATATACATCATTCCCATTACTAACCTTCCTCATAGCTGTGTACATGTACTTCACATCCTGAGCAATAAAACACGACACTTGGTAGCTAGTTTCCGTCTCCGTGGTGACCGGTTCGTCTGGACACTCCTCGCATTTGTACGTCGACTTTGTCTCCACCCACACTACGACTAACAGCATAGCCTAGCCCCCAGCCCATCAATTTAGTGATACGCGCATGCGTAGTGCGTCGAGGGTGCACTTTAGTGCTTTTCATTTACCTTTGTTCCTGAGTCACTGGTAAGTATCAATCTTACCTTGTCGCTCCCGATATAATACAAACATAATCATTTTTTAAGTGATGTTAATCTTGTCAGACTAGACAATCATAAGAGAAATATGAACTCCATTAGCATACTACTTGGACATCTCGTCGGGAACGAGTACTGAGCTTTTAGTGATCATAAACCCAAATAATAATAGTAGGCAGAAGCATTATGTATCACTGAGCATATTGTAAAGGGATTGGAGGGATAGGCTTACTGCTGCAGGTGAATCCATCTCCAGAGAACCCAGTATTACAAGAGCAGGTGTAGCTTCCAATAGTATTCCACTTCTTGCAGTAGTGAGCAACTGTAGCTACCAAATGCAAACGCCCCAAAGTGCCACGCAGTTCAAAAAGTGCTGCAATGTAACTTTGTTGATTGCTATAATATTATAGTTGTTGCTAATTTTATCTTTATTATACAAAACGGCATTATCACTACAAAAACGCCCCTTTGGACGCCATAAATAAGCAGAAATTGATGTTTAGCGCCCAGTATTATAACCCCCATACAAATTCTTATGGACTTATGGACGCTCTTTGCAAGAACCAACAGACACAATACGTGAACGACTATATATAGCAGACTTGATTATCCTTACATTTCTCCGTGAGTAAAAACCTGTCATTCTTGCAAAAGCTTTCAGTGCTCTCATTCCTATTGTATCCGTTTCCTCTGCACTCTGTTTCACTGCACCTTCAGTTTTGTTCTTCTTAAATAAAAATTGGCTCCAATTGGAACATACAGCCGTTGCAATTATGTAGCTAATTGCAGAATTGTACCCGACCCCACAGAAAGGTGGTCGGATCCAACTTTCTGTTCCGGGGTTGAAGGGGTTGAGTTATAGATTCGAACCCCTACCAGCTGAGTTGCCCTGGTAGCTCAGTTGGTAGAGCGCTCGCCTAGACTGCAGAGTGTCGTGGGTTCGAATCCCACCCAGGGCAGATCTTCTTCTTGGTCCTGGGTGTAGTTGACTTGTTTGCCTTGCCTTGCCTTTCTACCTCCTACCAAGTTGTTGAGTCATGGAGTTGGGGGTCTTTGGTGGTTTAATCACCCAGTCTGTTCCCACACACTGAGTGAGAGTGTAGCAACCGGTTGCCACGGCACCAGCCAATCAGATGCTGTCTCTCTCCCTCGTCTCTGGAGCTGATTGATACTTATATCACTGAACTACAGTCACTATGTAACCACACCTCCTCATAATTATTGTTGTCTTTAAAATTTAAACTTTGCAAGGGAACGTAGCACATGCTCAAACACACCACCGTTGATCTTTTATCCCATGTCGAAGTTTTTATCATTCTTTGAAATTGATATTTAAATAATAATAGTAGGCAGTTTCCTCTGCACTCTGTTTCACAGCACCTTCAGTTTTGTTCTTCTTAAATAAAAATTGGCTCCAATTGGAACATACAGCCGTTGCAATTATGTAGCTAATTGCAGAATTGTACCCGACCCCACAGAAAGGTGGTCGGATCCAACTTTCTGTTCCGGGGTTGAAGGGGTTGAGTTATAGATTCGAACCCCTACCAGCTGAGTTGCCCTGGTAGCTCAGTTGGTAGAGCGCTCGCCTAGACTGCAGAGTGTCGTGGGTTCGAATCCCACCCAGGGCAGAAACGAGTACTGAGCTTTTAGTGATCATAAACCCAAATAATAATAGTAGGCAGAAGCATTATGTATCACTGAGCGTATTGTAAAGGGATTGGAGGGATTGGCTTACTGCTGCAGGTGAATCCATCTCCAGAGAACCCAGTATTACAAGAGCAGGTGTAGCTTCCAATAGTATTCCACTTCTTGCAGTAGTGAGCAACTGTAGCTACCAAATGCAAACGCCCCAAAGTGCCACGCAGTTCAAAAAGTGCTGCAATGTAGCGTTGTTGATTGCTATAATATTATAGTTGTTGCTAATTTTCTCTTTATTATACAAAACGGCATTATCACTACAAAAACGCCCCTTTGGACGCCATAAATAAGCAGAAATTGATGTTTAGCGCCCAGTATTATAACCCCCATACAAATTCTTATGGACTTATGGACGCTCTTCGCAAGAACCAACAGACATAATACGTGAACGACTATATATAGCAGACTTGATTATCCTTACATTTTTCCGTGAGTAAAAACCTGTCATTCTTGCAAAAGCTTTCAGTGCTCTCATTCCTATTGTATCCGTTTCCTCTGCACTCTGTTTCACAGCACCTTCAGTTTTGTTCTTCTTAAATAAAAATTGGCTCTAATTGGAACATACAGCCGTTGTAATTATGTAGCTAATTGCAGAATTGTACCCGACCCCACAGAAAGGTGGTCGGATCCAACTTTCTGTTCCGGGGTTGAAGGGGTTGAGTTATAGATTCGAACCCCTACCAGCTGAGTTGCCCTGGTAGCTCAGTTGGTAGAGCGCTCGCTAGACTGCAGAGTGTCGTGGGTTCGAATCCCACCCAGGGCCAGAAACGAGTACTGAGCTTTTAGTGAATCATAACCCAAATAATATAGTAGGCAGAAGCATTATGTATCACTGAGCGTATTGTAAAGGGATTGGAGGGATTGGCTTACTGCTGCAGGTGAATCCATCTCCAGAGAACCCAGTATTACAAGAGCAGGTGTAGCTTCCAATAGTGTTCCACTTCTTGCAGTAGTGAGCGACTGTAGCTACCAAATGCAAACGCCCCAAAGTGCCACGCAGTTCAAAAAGTGCTGCAATGTACTTTGTTGATTGCTATAATATTATAGTTGTTGCTGATTTTATCTTTATTATACAAAACGGCATTATCACTACAAAAACGCCCCTTTGGACGCCATAAATAAGCAGAAATTGATGTTTAGCGCCCAGTATTATAACCCCCATACAAATTGTTATGGACTTATGGACGCTCTTCGCAAGAACCAACAGACATAATACGTGAACGACTATATATAGCAGACTTGATTATCCTTACATTTTTCCGTGAGTAAAAACCTGTCATTCTTGCAAAAGCTTTCAGTGCTCTCATTCCTATTGTATCCGTTTCCTCTGCACTCTGTTTCACAGCACCTTCAGTTTTGTTCTTCTTAAATAACAATTGGCTCCAATTGGAACATACAGCCGTTGCAATTATGTAGTTAATTGCAGAATTGTGGTCGGATCCAACTTTCTGTTCCGGGGTTGAAGGGGTTGAGTTATAGATTCGAACCCCTACCAGCTGAGTTGCCCTGGTAGCTCAGTTGGTAGAGCGCTCGCCTAGACTGCACCCAGGGCAGAGTGTCGTGGGTTCGAATCCCACCCAGGGCAACTCTTCTTCTTGGTCCTGGGTGTAGTTGACTTGTTTGCCTTGCCTTGCCTTTCTACCTCCTACCAAGTTGTTGAGTCATGGAGTTGGGGGTCTTTGGTGGTTTAATCACCCAGTCTGTTCCCACACACTGAGTGAGAGTGTAGCAACCGGTTGCCACGGCACCAGCCAATCAGATGCTATCTCTCTCTCCCTCGTCTCTGGAGCTGATTGATACTTATATCACTGAACTACAGTCACTATGTAACCACACCTCCTCATAATTATTGTTGTCACTTTCTCTACTGATTTAAAATTTAAACTTTGCAAGGGAACGTGGCACATGCTCAAACACACCACCGTTGATCTTTTATCCCATGTCGAAGTTTTTATCATTCTTTGCCAAAGAGCCAGTTACACGGAAGCGATTTTAAGTTAACCCTTTGGACACGATAGGTTATCTTCTTAATTGGTGAGTGAGAACTCACGAAGGCAGCAGTAGAGATGAATCATAAGTGAGGTATGAAAGGCAAAACAAGTGAAAAGCAACAAATCAACGACAACCAGAACACTACATGTAGTGTAGCAGACTGACCTGTCCAGAGTGTTGGTGGTGGTTGAAGGAAGAAATGAGACGTGAGGCCCACTCCACCCTCTCCTCACTGGGAGAGAAGGCTTCCTGAACCACTGGCACCTGAGCTGGGTGGATGACCTTAGAGAGAGGGAGGGATTGGGAGAAGGGAGAGGGAAAGAAAGGTAAGAAAGGGAGGGAGGAAGTGGGAGCAGAGAAATGTGCATCGGCAGGCTCGAAGTTTTTTTAACAGAGGGGATATGGTTTTTGCGTTGTCCATATACAAAGTTACTTACAATGGTGGTTCATCTTCGTTCTGTGTATCATCAGCATTCCCACTAACAGGACGCACGCATGCGCACGTTGTTATAACATTTTTGGGGCGCGACCCACCACACACACACACACACCCGGACCCAGCGCAGAGAGCTGGGGCCCTGGTCGTCATCTTCATCTTGAACCGTGGCTACTGAGAGACCAGCAAGATCAGACTGTCGTGACCCACAGCACGAGAAATGGCCGCGGAAGGCCTTCTCGCCGAGTATCCAGAGCTGCGGCCGTTCGTCCTCCCCAACGTGCGACTCACTGGCATCAGAATCGGCGCCGGAGCCTACGGCAGCGTGGAGGAGGTGGCCGTGCCTGGAGCCATCTGCGCCGCCAAAAAAGATCCACGACATCTTCCTGGACCGCTCCGAGATCCCCGCGGCCGAGATCCGCAGAGCCACTGCCCAGTTCGTGAGGGAATGTCAGCTTATGAGCACCCTCGGCCACCCGAATATCGTCAAGTTTCTGGGCGTCGCCTTCTTTCCCGGCTCGCGACTGCCAGCCCTCGTCATGGAGCGACTGCTGACGAGCCTTCACGACTTGCTGGACCCAGAAACGGACCCGCCTCCCCCGCCCAACACGCCCAAGCCGTTCTTCCCGCTGAGCCTAAAGTGCTCGATCCTGCACAACGTGGCGTGCGGTCTAGCCTACCTCCACGAGCGAACGCCGCCCGTCATCCACCGCGACTTGTCGGCCAGAAACGTTCTCCTGAACTCGGGGATGGTGGCCAAGATCGTGGATTTGGGCGTGGCTCGTATCGTGCCTCGTATGAGAACTGCAGCCACCATGACAAAGGGACCTGGGGCCTCAGTCTACATGCCTCCAGAAGCCAGTGCTCCTGCTAAATCGAATGCCCAAAAGTCAAAGTACGATGCCAGTATCGATGTCTTCTCTCTTGGAGTAGTTGCCATTTTCACAATCGGTGAGGTCTTCCCCTGCGATCCCGTTGCTGCAACCTATCTCGATGAAGAAACTGGGTTGCTAGTAGCTCGCACTGAACTACAGCGACGCGCTGAGTACATGCGACACGTGAACGAGCAACTCCGTGCCAGTGGCCAGCTCCGTGGGGACCACCCTCTCATTCGGCTGATCCAGCAATGCCTGCACAACGGTCCTCACAAACGCCCGAGCATTCGTGAGGTGCTGCGTCTGTTGGAGGAGGCCAGAGCTGGAGCCAGGGACAGCGGATGGGAAGAGGTGCAAGCTGCTCAGACCCAGCCCAGGAACCAGGTGAGGTGCCGTAATGCTGCGGTCTCTGCAACTGAAACTGTGATTTGTGTTGTGCAGAGTTCTGAGAGAGATCTGCAGTCTCGTGTGCAGGAGCTACAGCAACAGCTGCAGTCCAGGAACCAGGTGAGGGACTCCCCCATACTGTCATAACAACAGAGTTTTGATAGTGAATTCCGACAATATCAGGAGAATGCAGATCTCCAGTCAAGCGTGCAGGAACTACAGCAACAGCTGCAGTCCAGGAACCAGGTGAGGGACTCGCTGATACAACAGAGTTTTGATAGAAAATTCCTAAAATATCAGGAGAATGTCAATCTCCAGTCAAGTGTGCAGGAACTGCACTTCAGGAATCAGGTAAAGAGTAACAGTCACTCAGTTTTGCTGTGGCAATACTCCCCCAGAATTACATTACCATGTTGCGGTGGCAAATCAGTTTGCCGTGGTAGAAGCTTATTGAGTACTGGCACGAATCCTCTCTCTCATAGGCCAAGGACAGGGAGTTAGCTGAGGCTCAGCAGCAACTGAGACAGAAGGTAAAACATTTATATATAGCATCCCTGCTAATGTGAACGTACAACTTCAGGAAGAAGAGCTCCAATCCAGTGAGAGAGAGGAACAGACAGTCAGACAACAGCTCATCAGCTCACAGAAACAGGTTAGTAAAGTCTGTGGAACTAATGCAGTGTAACGAGGTCCTCCTGACTGCAGGAGACTGAGTTAGTGCAGGCCAAGGACAGGGAGCTAAGAGAGAAGGCGACATTCCTAACAAGGAAGGAGAGAGAGTTAGCTGAGACTCAGCAGCAACTGAGACAGAAGGTGAATAGTGATAACTGCAGGATGTGTCATGTTTTGTGACTAGAGGTCCTCCTGACTGCAGGAGGAACAGCTGCGATCAAGTGAGGCTCTAGTGGCTGACTTCCAGAAGACCCTCCAGCAGAGAGACTCAGAGCCGACTCAGAGGACAAAGGTCAGTCTTACTGGCTGTGAATAATAACATTCCTCTCAGACTCAGTCTGGTTGTCTAGCAACAGATGTATATAACTAGTAGGTGAATGCACTGCATTAATATATGTACTTATTAGAGAGGTGTCCTCATCAGGGGTGTCCTTACTCCTTATTAGAGAGGTGTCCTCATTTCAGGGGTGTCCTTACTCCTTATTAGAGAGGTGTCCTCATTTCAGGGGTGTCCTTACTCCTTATTAGAGAGGTGCCCTCATTTCAGGGGTGTCCTTACTCCTTATTAGAGATGTGTCCTCATTTCAGGGGTGTCCTCCTACTCCTTATTAGAGGGGTGTCCTCATTTCAGGGGTGTCCTTACTAGAGGGGTGTCCTCATTTCAGGGGTGTCCTTACTCCTTATTAGAGAGGTGTCCTCATTTCAGGGGTGTCCTTACTCCTTATTAGAGAGGTGTCCTCATTTCAGGGGTGTCCTTACTCCTTATTAGAGATGTGTCCTCATTCAGGGGTGTCCTTACATATAGGTTAGATGCGGAGCCGAGGTGACTACGCGTGGTAGAGTGCCGAGGGCTCCCGAGCTGTCGGCGTCGCGAGCGTAGCGAGGGGCGCTACTAGGAGCTGAGCACTCTACCACGCGTAGTTTCGTGGCGACGCGTCTACACCAGTTTAGATCCATTCAAACTGTTTGCGAAGATAGGGCAGCGCAGGCGAGCGTGTACTATCTTGCTAGACCAGGAAGACTCCGAGAGGACTCGACCTATACTCATGCTTCCCGCGAGCCAATCTCGAACTCTGGAAAGATCCGTGCAGCGTAGAGTGGGCGGAGCCTTTTCCGCGAAGCACGGCGACGACGAGGGAATGCTGTAGCTTAGCTCACGTTTCTGGCTGGCCGTTGTAGCTGAAACCTCGCTCGAGTCGCGTACTATCACGTCTTCACGCTCCGCCTCCCAATAGATCCCTGCTTCCGGGCAGCGGGATCTACGAAAATAGATCCCGTCGTCCGGGCAGCGGATCTACGGAAAATAGATCCCGCGTTTGGACCAATGAAATTGCGCGATTTCAAATCACCGGGATCTGAGGGACACCCCTGAATGATCATCTGTCCTTACTCCTTACTTATTAGAGATGTGTCCTCTTTCAGGGGTGTCCTTACTCCTTATTAGAGAGGTGTCCTCATTTCAGGGGTGTCCTTACTCTTTAGTAGAGAGGTGTCCTCATTTCAGGGGTGTCCTTACTCCTTATTAGAGGGGTGTCTCATTTCGGGGTGTCCTACTCCTTATTAGAGATGTGTCCTCTTCAGGGTTCCTTACTCCTTATTAGAGATGTGTCCTCATTTCAGGGTGTGTCCTACTCCTTATTAGAGGGGTGTCCTCATTCAGGGGTGTCCTTACTCCTTATTAGAGATGTGTCCTCATTTCATGGGTGTCCTACTCCTTATTAGAGAGGTGTCCTCATTTCAGGGGTGTCCTTACTCCTATTAGAGAGTGTCCTCATTTCAGGGTGTCCTTACTCCTTATTAGAGAGGTTGTCCTCATTTCAGGGGTGTCCTACTCCTTATTAGAGAGGTGTCCTCATTTCAGGGGTGTCTTACTCCTATATTAGAGGGGTGTCCTCATTTCAGGTGTCCTTACTCTATTAGAGATGTGTCCTCATTTCAGGGGTGTCCTTACTCCTTATAGAGATGTGTCCTCATTTCAGGGTGTCCTTACTCCTTATTAGAGAGTGTCTCATCTTCAGGGTGTCCTTACTCCTTATTAGAGAGTGTCCTCATTTCTGGTGTCCTCCCTACTCCTTATTAGAGGAGTGTCCAAAAATCTGTTGATTCCTGTGCAATTCGCTTGTCTGATAGCTTCGGATCTGTTGGAGCTTGCCTGTTGCGTTTCCTCTGATTCGCAGCACGTGTCGCTCTTGCTCTAGTCGTGCTTCCCTTTCTTTCCGCTGTTTCCGTTGCCTTGCCCGTTCCTATCACGCAGTCGCCGTCGAGAAAGACGAGCCTCTCTTTGCTCAAAGTCTCACTGGCACGACGTTCTTTCTGTGTT